ACTTCGGTAGTACAGGCATTCTAACATATTTGGTTTCATTTAGTGGCCAGAAAAGCATGAAGAGTTATCATTATGAAAATCTCAGGATAGGTTGCAGACGTTACGGTATGGGATTATGCGGGTAATACCGAATTTCCTGCAAGAACAATAAATGCTAAAGGTAAGTAACCCGCTCATGGTCAAGAACTAAGAAGCCGGCATTGGGAGAATTATTCCCAGCCGCAAAGGCTGCAAAGAGCAGAGCAGACACGCAGACACAGACTAAAGGTAACATTTATGTAACAGTCAAGATCCGAGGATTGCCGACCGTTGCCGATCCTGTGATCAGCCGGCGCTCGGCAACAGGTGCGCCAACCTTGATTTTTCGTTCGTTATCTATTATTCAATCAAAACGCGACAGAAGCTGAACTCAGTTTTCCCCTACACTAGCGGCCGTCGAGTGCATCGCCTTTTTGCATCATTACATGGGTGGACTGAAAGGATAAAACCCAGATTTTTTATACTGAGGTAGCCACGAAGGCAGATCATGAATGCCAAGGTACAGCAACTGCTGTAAAGACGCTCGAAAATGCAGGAGATGCTGTGATAAACTTTGTGTGAGACACTACCCAACTAGCAAAGTAGTGGTATAAGCTTTTGGTAAAAGAACCGTTCAGCCATAAAAGCTCTCTATTGTTGTTGCCTGAACACCAAAATGCTGGCTTAATGTTGTGTGGAATGCAAATTTGCTTTCTGCAACATATTTGCTCTAAAATGAGGTGTTTAAAATATTCTTATAGCATAGTTATAGAACACCTTATAGGGCAAATTTTTAACTGTTGCATAAACGTTTATACAACTATTTTATACGGCATATTTGCAAGTTAGTCAAAATGGTTGTGTTGTGGCACCCATGCTAACGTTTATAAAACAAACCCGAGCCTTGTTGCTTTGCTGTGCAATTTACTACATTAGCCAACAAATTGCTCCCAACGGAAGCACTTATACAACTGTTACATATGCTAAATATGTTGGTAAACAACTTCACCATAACCTAACTTTCTGCTGTCATATTTTTGTTAAAATGCCATAACCAATGTTTTAAGACGAACAACGCATGCATATCGGTTCAAAAGGTTTTATCAACTGTTCAAACAGAAGATATAGATCTGGAACAAATTCTGGGTAAATCATTCGAGCCTGTCGGTATTTCATTTCAGACATTTGTCAAATTGTTGTATAACACCTGCAGGCAAACCAAAATAGTCTAATAACCTAAAGACAACATGGACGATGCCATGATTGTACACAACCACCCGCCATATTGGGCAAACATTTATTCCTCTATTCAATATTAAATAATTATGTTTCAGTTCGAAATTACAGATATAAAGTGATAAACATTAGTGTAATTGTGTCTAAATATAGGATTTGTGGAAGATTTAACGCAGATAAGTTCAGTTTTCCATCTTAAAAATCTAGACATACTTTTAATCATTGTCAAAATATGAATCAAATACGAAGCCCGTAGAAATTGGGTAACTAATTTGCACGATAATCACAATAAAATTTGCTGCGCAAGTAATTCAATAGTCCTATATCAAAGTGTAGAAGTATATCATATACCTGTGTATGAAATTCACAATGGCCGATATGTAAGTAAACAAGATGACTGTAATGTGCTAGTTATATATTCTTCACTTCGTCTATACAATACATAGGAAATAGTTTGGTTGCAATAAAGTAGAATCACGTAAGAGAATAGTTGTATAGTTGACAAAAACTGAATCTTGCACTGACGCAAATGTCCTATAGCGGCTGCAAGAGGCTTACACTTTTGTTTTATAACTGTTACCTGTAGCCCTTATACAACCTCTTAAATGACTGAAGTGTCCTATTAGGTCTGCCCATTCCTCTTGTATAGCTGTTCTAAGAGGATTTTGCTAATGTTCTTACAGTATACAATGCTGTTTAAGGAATACTGTATAATCATTCTTGCAACTCTAATAGGAGTGATAATTGTTAGTTGGGTAATCACCTACCACGATACTCCGTTACGTCAAAACTGACAACAAATAATAGCTGATTATCAAGTGACATTTAAAATACCCCCGATCGACAATGGACACAACTCGGATCTGTCAAAGCCAGATTTGTGTTTTGTTATATCTTTTTGTACGCTATGGAATCATACTTTCTAATAACGCTTTTATTTATAAAAATGGTCAGGTATGTGAAACAAGGTTTCATTAGTGTTTGATATAAAGAATTCTGAATACGGTCCTGAGTTTCCCAGATTGAACGTCCTGGTCAAGGTCATCGTAAAAACACTCCTTTGAATCACTCCAAAGATCCCTCTGGCGATAGAAGAAAAATGAGGAACTAAAGGTAGCGGTAGTTTAGAATGTTTCCCTGTCTTAGGGCGGTAATCGTCAGTCGTTCCTATAATTAATTGTAGGACTCCTGTATGGCCTCTTCGATTTTCATAGTTTTTCCTGTTCTTCAGTGTCAGCGCTCTATTTTGAGGTTATGTTACAAATATCTATGTGCATCGAATTGTTCATGCTTTTGATTTATATCCTCTGTTTAATCAGCTTGAAATTTCCTGCAAAAGAAATTATAATCTCACAATAGGAGAGGGCTGACGTCGACACGGAACATAAGAAATCTAGAAATACCTCAACCTTTCTCAAAGAGAAAAAAAAAGAGTGAAAATCAAGGAGGCCATAAAGGCGTCCTACAATTATTGTAGCAACGACTGACGACACGGCACTTAGAATACGATTCTACAAAATTAACTAGTCAGACCTAATGCCCAATGCTTCCTCCTACAGTTTTATGTTTTCGAATACCTCGAACCCCCATGGACCGGTATAGGATCTAACATTATTTCTGTTACATATCAAATATGTTAGAGCTAATCATATTATCATTAGACGCTGAAAATAATTGTAATAAAACATCAGGTAAAGTAGTTCAAGAGGTCTGGATAATTGTTATCTACAGTAAAGGCGAACAAGCATGTTTTCTTTTAATTACATAATTTTTGTAGCTGATGAACAATAATTATATCCAATTAATTCCAGAAGACACTGAGATACTTGCGGCTCATTATAAATTGTTCTTGAACGGAAATGCATTATTATTTGATGTGTGATTAAAATGCATTAATTGCCAGCAAATTCTAACATGGCACAGCTATTTATCATTCTTTATAATCAATCTGTTTCGTGTGTCGGAACTTCATTCCTCGTAGGGTAGACTTGTGGGAATTTACGATCTCGCTGGAATCAGAAAATAAGGGTATTTCATGGTCTAAGGTCAATTCTATATGTGCAGGATGTTGCAGAATATTGTCACGAAAAATGAAAGGCCATGAAAAAATATGAAATAAAGTTCAAATAAGTATAGGTCCGTAAATGCTGTAATATCTTAAAAAATGGTGTCGAACAGTAGTAGTTCCTTTGAGATAGCTAAAAACATGTATCAGAAAAATTGAATGGATCAAATCAGCCAAACAGGTTCATATACAATTAGCACATACTCATTTTTAACACTTAAATCTTTTTTCTAACAATGGTCAGGAATTCCTGAAACTTTGAAAAATGGAGTTTGACCGATTTTAATTTTTTTAGTGTTTTTGCCCTTAAATCCGCCGCCACTGAAACGAGTTTCAAAAGATACACAGCTTTTTCGTCCTTGGCATAGTAGTGACCGTGTGTGAAATTTTCATCTAGACAAACAGCCAATACGCGTGGAAGTAAAAACACATGTGAAGCTACTTAGTTTACAAATCGAAATTATTCGAAATATCTAACCTTCAGCTAGAATGCATAAAATCGGTACATGTCTATAGTCATATGTCTAACAAATCTTCGTCTATTTGGATAGATGAGCAAAATTTGGAATTTTTTAACTTGTATATATCATTGAGCGTCTGAAACATGTATATTTGAAACGCCCGTTGCTAATGGTATCAACTATTTGATTAACAAATCAATATTGAATAACTGCAATGACCTATTTGTGAATTTATATCCACATGTGTGTTGAAGTGTCACTCCAAACAGTTTACTGTATTTATAGTTTTAATTTCTTCATCTATAAATTATCTTCTCATGAATCTGCTGGGATGTCTTGAGGTGAAAATGTGTACGGGCGTTGTCTCATTTCATTTTGACAGTACTTTCATATGGAAACAAAACGATCTGGAAATCAAGTAGAAGTCAAAGACAGAAGAGAGGTTAAAATAATAGTTTCTCAAGGATTAACTCGTCTACTACTACTGGCTTTGTATGCGAACTCATTGACCTGACGAGCCTAGCCGCAAAAATACCGTAAGAATGTATTCCATCATACAATTAATGGAACAGTTTCAAGATTTCTTCACCGCGGTTAATTAGTCGGTAACCAGATAGGCTAACTGTCTTTTCTCGTTGAGATAATAACGGAAAAAATTCTAAAATTTAGTGATAATCGCACGGCATGACAATTGCAATTATATCGAACAGCTATAATGAGCAATGAATATTTCATAACTGTTACGGCTTGTTACTTATTACAGAATGAATATTTAGCAAATTCTCAGTCAATTTGTACATGGAAACTCGCACATTTTTCCAATATCAATCTTTGACAATTTCATCTGAAAGGAGTTAATTATTCATTTATTATTTATTTATTTGGAATTGAACACAAAGACATGTTTACATGCGTATGACACGTCTATAAAAACAGGCAATGTAAAGGTTTCACAATTATTGTATAGCCTTTTTTAAAGTACACACCTGTGAAAAATGAACTAAGAGTCAATTTCACTAACATTTAAATTTGACGGAGGCTTCCACCAATAAGGGAACAAACAACTTATTGAAATGCAATTTGACTGAAGCTGTCAAAATTCTTTGAATATCAGTGATTTATAATGAAATATTGAGTAAAATCGATTGCATTGTAAACAATGGCACTTTTTGATTCCAAACTGATTCTTTTGTACAAAGAAAACAGGACAACTGCATGAGCGAGGGATGTCTTTTAAGTTTTGCACATGGAAATAAAACAACACGGTAGGTAGTTTTAAATGACTTTATTGTTTTTCGAAGTATTCTCCACGAAGATTAACACACATCTGCATGCGCTCGAACCAATTTTCGAAGCACTTATTCCACTCGTTTGCTGGCAGATCCAAATCGGCATTTTTGAATGCGTCAACTGCTTCTTCTGGTGACTGGAACCTTTGACCACGCAGTCTGTTTTTAATTTTCGGGAAAGTAAGGAAATCGTTAGGACTTAGATCGGGACTATATGGAGGATGGTCTAATAATTCCACGTTTCCTTCCGTTAAATACTGCCTTGTTTTTTGGGCTGTGTGCGAGCTTGCATTGTCTTGGTGGAGGATGATTCTTCTTTCGGGGTTGATTTTTCGAAGCCCGGTGATGACTTTTGGCAAACAAATGGTGGCATACCAATCCGCAGTAACAATTCTTTGCTCATTTGCAACCACGTGGCATCCAGAAAAAAACGGCTCTTGAGACTGACATAAATCAACCGTGTTGACGTATAGATAGCACGGAACTCGGCGTTGCACCTTCTCCAGTATATGTTTTGAGCCATGCAATATCGCCTAGACCTACTAAAAACAAAAACAAATTTATAATTTCATCAGTTTCAGATTTGTGATTGAACATTGCAATTATTCCTGAAGATTACTAATTCGGTGGAAAACTTATTATTATTGAAGCAACTTTGGAGATTTTCAGGTTTTGTAGTGAAGGATTTTGTAGTAAGCTACTTACTAGCACTAGCTACCTTTTGGAACTCTTAGAAAGATCATCATATAAGGTGGATCACAATACGTGTTTTGTTAACAAAATCCTTAATTGAGCATTTGTTCATGTGTAGGAATTTTCATAAAGTTTCTGCTCTCACGTATGTATGTATTTAACAACAAAATGCTGTGTCGTTTGAAACATTTCTTCAAATTTAACAGGCAGAAGTGCTAAAATAACTCGAGGTTATGAACCAAAATGATATGTAGTTTCCACTTGCATATTACATATTTTTTATAATTTTGTATTAGTATTCAATCAATTCTCAAACCTTTTGATACTAACATTTTTTATGCTTCAGATGCTATTGGTTACGACAATTTGACGGTGGCACGGATTATAACGGTGGGTGGTTTAATGTGATTGGTTGAAAATAATCACCAGTTTTTTTGCGAAATCCACCCTAAATCTATTATTTTTATCCATTTATTTAGTATTCACAAAGACAAGTTGCATGTAGAATAAATAAACAATGAACATACACAATTAAAACAATTAGACAATAACGTTTATATTATCAACATATTAATGCAATTAAAAATTTTTAAAGGCAAAAAAAATACATTATAAGTTTGTATTATGTTTTTTTTTCAAGGCAATAGTAAAATAAGAACCAAACAATACAAGGAACGGATACTACTAGGATTCATTGGTGTGATTCCTCAAGCTCGGTTTCAAACCTTCGAGTCGTTTACCAATTTAAAATTTAACAAAGGTAACATTTATGCTTGAATAGGACGACAATCTTGCGGTGTTTCCAAAGCCCTTGATGCGTGTCTTTTCTCTCCACGGTTAGTTAAGTATTTCCACCGCATCGTCACGGGGCTGCCGACACTGTTGTCATATCAAAAAAGAAATGAAAGATATTTCATTCTGAATTATCGTGGAACAATAAAATTATTCATTTTTAGATACAGTAAGGTTTGGTTTTGTTTGGCTTTGTCTCAGACTATGGGCACATTTTTGCGACCAGGTAATAAATATCTAATAATGAAGCAAAATAACGTAAAGCATAGAGCTAGATTGAGCAAAAATGTCAGTTACTCCGATTCATAAGATTAGAGTAAAGCAAAAAGTAATATGATACTCTGCAATAATGCAGAAATAGCTCATGTTTGAAACTGCAATTTTAGAGGAATGATTTTTTGTTTTACGTGCTTGAAAATGGCGTCAAGTAGGTTGACTCTGTACCCGTCACACAACTCTGTTATCAGTGGGATTAAGTTCAGATTATTTCCAAACATAACGTCATATGAACTGTTATACAAATAAATCGATCAAAGCTGTTGCATGTCAGGTCTTCCTACTATATGCGTATTCTTAACAGACTTAACAAAAACTACAAAGTTTTTTATTTTTGTTTATTATAACGCAGAGTAATAACCCGTTGTAGTACTAGCTGCTAAGCACCCCACAAAATAACCTCAATTAGAAAAAAAATTAACTGCGCTGAAGTATATTCAAAAGATTCCAATGGAATCGAAATCTGACTAAAGTTGTAGTCACCGTTGTTGACGTTATCAACGCCATATGAAATAAGTAAACAGATCCAGTCTCCGTACCATGGGCGCAGACTTTCAGCGCATCTGCTACTCTCTCCAGTACGCATGAGGTGGGTAACAGGGACCGCTGTTTTCATTTTCTTCCTGAAAATACTCTAATAAATTTGGCACGAGCTGTCGGCCTTCTCCATTGATCGTATTTCCGAGCAATGTACAATTTCATATTGAAGATTAATAACAGGGGCAACTAAAATTGCACGCCGATGTCAAGTAAGTTGAAGGGCACTCATACGTAACGAAAAGGTTTTCGAGACGGTGACGACAACTATACTTATGTTCATTTAACCATGATATATCGTAAAAGTTTGGAAAAACTTCACAATCTCCCACTATGAAAATAAAATCTCAAAGCCTGTAATATGTCACCCAGCTGTTAGGGCTCTAATACGTTTCGTTAAGTATCAAAAGAGAATTTTGTAGTCCAAATTTTTCTTAACCTCAATCACCCCTGCGACGATCATGTCGCTTCAAATCCAGACTTGGCAACACTGCGGACGTGTCAAAGTGAAGGCGTACCGACGCAGAGTTAAAAAGGCTCATCTCATATTCATTGTACGGCGATTGTGATATGCATCACAATTATTTCCACAGTGAGGGAATTGAATATACAATTTGGCTGAGTGCATCAAAGAAACTGTTGACATCAGTGAACTACAAAGCGAGTCATCTATTTTTTAATAATGCCTATATGACGTCGAAAGCATGAGGGTTAATGCTACGTTCAGAAATAATTTTTACATGTTGCCTTTGCCTGTTTAAAAATCAGATAAGCAATGAGCTTTTCAGCTGCCTGCATATATTGCTGCACCATTATTCAAAATAAGGAAGTAGAAAACCGGATAATTGTACTGAGTCAGTAGCTCACAGGACTCAGAACTGTGAACACCTTCGTGTTGGCGAAACGTCAAATAAAAATAATTTACGACGGCCTAACTAAAAATCAACCAAATAACATTGGATGATGGCCGCGAAAGCTTTTCGCATTTCATCCTTTTGACGAGTCCTACAAGCAGTTAAAATAAATGACTAAACTTTAAAAACACCCTGTATATCGCCATAATTGTACATAATATCTTTATGTGAAGGTGAAATAATAATGTTTCGTCTATCAATGCTATTGAATAGACAAATAAAAAAATCAAGACTATTAGATAGGCATTTAAGTGAATAGATCAATTAATTAATAGGTCAATGGTTATTATTGTAGAGAAACTCTGGTGCAATAATTTTTCCCACAGGGAAATTATAACATAAGTGACATGATTTTGGAATTTCAGCGATCGCAAAATGTTTAGATCAAGACGTTTTTACTTTTTACCTACGTAATAAATTTCGAAAATGATATTGTGGTTTTTGAATGTTATACGACGTTAAACTATGTCACTCATTTCTGTCGGTGTGTCTGTCTATCGGTCTGTCTGACTGCTAATCACTGGACAACAAATTTTAGTTTTTTAATTGTATCTTGTGGGAAAAGTGCACTTCTTTGTTAATTTTGGGGCGCTGAATCCAAAAATGACAATGAAATAAAAAAATTAGTTGCGGTTTAGAAAAAAAACTTTTTATTTTTAAGGATATATTAAAAAAGTAACAAGATTCACATACTTATAAGAATCACTATATGCGCTGTCTTTTTGCTGTTCTTTTATGGATCGTTTCTGGAGCATCTCTACCAAGAGTCCAACAGTAGTCTGCAAGCATGGAAGGATTCCACTTTCCCTGGTACCTTTTTTTCATTGTTGAAATATCCTGATGAAAACGTTGGCTGTGCTCATCACTTACGGCTCCGCAATTGTCAGGAAAAAAGTCCAGGTGTGAGTGTAGGAAATGTATCTTAAGAGACATATTACAGCCCATCTTTTGATACGATGACAGTATATTTTTTGACAAGGGTTTTATAGTTGTCAGCTTTTCTATTTCCCAAGAAATTAGTGACCACCAGACGGAAATCATTCCAAGCAGTTTTTTCAATACCTGTTAGTGTTTTCAAACTGTGTATCTTTCAAAATATTTCGAATCTGTGGCCCAACAAAAATACCGTCTTTAACCTTTGCCTCACTTAGTCTTGGAAATTTCTGACGCAGATATTGAAATCTGACCCATTTCTATCTAATGCCTTGACAAAGTTTTTCATTAGGCCCAACTTGATATGCAGTGGTGGTAATAACATTTTTTTCGAATCTACTAATGGCATATGCTGTACATTTTTTTGACCTGGCTCTAGGAATTGACGAACAGGCCAGTTTTGTCTGGTGTAATGAAGTGCCTTTGCCCGACTGTCCCATTCACACAAAAAACAGCAAAACTTTGTGTAGCCTAGCTGCAGCCCAAGTAAAAGTGCAACAACTTTCAAATCGCCACAAATATGCCATTGGTGCTCATCGTATTTTATGCATGTCAATAGGTACTTCATATTGTCATATGATTCTTTCATGTGAACTGCATACCCTACAGGAAGAGATGGTAAAATATTTCCAATATGCAATAACACTGCCTTTAAACTCAATGTTGAACTGTCTATAAACAATCTCCATTCTTCTGGGTTATAGTTTATATTTAAAGCCGCCAGTAAGCCGTTAATGTTACTGCAGAAAACCAAGTTATTCTCCATATTGAAAAATGGTTCTAAGTCTTTGTGGCGTTTACGAAAAACACATACCGGAACATCGTCTTCTAACAAGTTCCACTGCTGCAGTCTTGATCCAAGTAACTCTGCCTTACATTTTAGAAGTTCTAAATCTCTTACAAGATCAGTTAATTCTGACTGTGTTATTTTGTGCGGTTGGTGGCATGACGTGCTTGGTATAAAATCAGGATCTCTTGACGTTGATGGCATATCTTCTTCCTGACGAATCACTCGATCGCCATGATCTGATTCGCAAGTGTAGGATTCTGGGGGTTTTGGAATAGGATTTTCGTCACTGTGAGGCACAGGTCTCATCGCAGATGGTATGTTTGGGTAGTTAATAACTGATTTTTTTTTCTTGGACATACCTGTGGCTTGTCCAACACAAGGTACCATGCAAAAGTAACAATCATTTATATGATTTGTAGGCTCTCTCCAAACCGTTGGGACAGCAAAGCGCATAGACCGTTTTTTGCCATTTAACCTCAGACTTGAAGCACATGTATTACAGCAAATGTGGGGTG